GTCGGCATTTTTTCGCGTTTTTGACATCCAGCCTCAAGAAGTGAGGTGTGGGTAGCCGGCATGGAGGGTCTGGGGCTCCCCCTTCCCCCTCCTGGGAAGGTGGGAGCTGCGCAGACAGTGGCGCGGCGGCGTGTGACGCCACACTAGTTTACTTGTTTTCTTTTAGGGAGTTCTATCCACTAGTTCGGCTTTTGGTAGCAATTTTAACCAGAATAGGGGTTTGTTTTGAGGCGCTTACCTTTCTGGGTGCCTGTTCCGGTCGATGGCAGACATAGAATGCTTCCAACCACACGGGGGCTTCTATAGGCCATTGCTCCCCTTGCCTCTCTGAGGGGGGGTCCGGTTCTGGCCGTGGTCCCCGGTAGGCCTAAGAACTCCATACACATGACTGATGCCAAAGTCTGACATTAGCATATCAGCCTGGGATAGCTCCGGGGAGCCTCCGGGACTCGCCCAGAAAATGGCGTTTCATTACATTCAACGCTGGTTTTTTGTTGTCTTCTAACTTGTGGATGTCGTCCAGAAGCATTTCGATTTCAAGGCGTTTTTGATGCTTCTTGATATGAATTGACAGTTTAGGCCAAGATTCAAGAGGTCTCGTTGGTCCTGGTTAAGATCATGAGTAGTTAGGTTTATGTAGCCGTCTTTTGGACAAAGGATCTTTAACTGTCCTCCGTTGAGGGCTGTCAGCTTTCGGAGTGTCCTCATTTCGTCATGCGTTTTGTGTGATTGTTTTAAGCTTGATAGTTCACTGTTGATGGTTTGTTTGAGTTGGCTGGGGATGTCGTACTGCGTCTATTTAATTAACTGATGTTCAACTTGCTCTGTAAGGGTTTGGAGGGCTTCCTTCTTCGTGTTGAGTTGATGCCGTATGAGATCTTGCCTATACCTATAGGTAAACTCTGCGTTGCTGACTGCTGGGTCATGTGGGTTTATATTAGTGTATACTGGCAGCAAGTTTTCTTGTATGCATGTCTCTTTGAATATGACAGCATATACCGTATTTACTATTTTCTCATTTAGGGCTTCTAAATCTATATATATGTGTGTGTGTGTATGTAAATCACGAAAATTAACACGTGATGAAAAATGTGAAATTATCAGACCACGGAGGAAGAATTGAAACAGGAATTTCCTTAAGTACTTTCGTATATTAATACATCTTCAAAAGGAATGATTTTATTCCTACTAAAGATGTATTAATATACGAAAGTACTTAAGGAAATTTCTGTTTCAATTCTTCCTCCGTGGTCTGACACTGTCATATATATAAATATATATATATATATATATATATATATATATATATATATATATATTGTGTAGGATGGATGAGAGAGTAGATGAGGATAGATGAAAGAGTAATAGAGCATCACCAGGGCAGGGCGAGGTACATAATATCTGATCTTAGAAAGAATGCCAACAGTTTTAGAAACTTTTTTTGCTATATTTAGGATGTGTCCCTGGAAATTCAGCTTGTTATCGATGAGGACACCAAGGAATTTACCATCAACTTTACTACTGATTTGTATACTGTTTATTCTTAGATTAATTTCATTTGAGGATTTATTACCAAACAAAATATTGAAAGTTTTGTCAATGTTAAGGGTGAGTTTGTTAGCAGTTAGCCAAAGATGGACTTTATTTAGTTCAGTATTCACAGTGACATTCAGAGCAAGAGGGTCAGGACTGAAGAAAATGAAAGTTGTGTCATCAGCAAATAAGATTGGTTTGAGGTGTTGAGAGGCATTTGGAAGGTAATTAATGTAGATGAGAAAGAGGAGAGGGCCAACTATGCTGCCCTGAGGAACACCAATGTTTATAGGTAGTGTAGGAGAAATGGAATTTTTCACAGAAACATGCTGGAGCCTGTCAGTAAGGTAGGACTGAAGGTATTGCAGGGAGTGACCTCTGACTCCATAATGATGTAATTTAAGAAGGTTTTGGTGGCTGACAGTGTCAAAAGCCTTACGCAGGTCCACAAATAACCCAACAGGGAACTCATTTTTATCAAGAGCTGCATGTATCAAGTTAATCATACTAATAAGTGCATCGTTAGTGCTTTTTTTGGGTCTGAAGTCATATTGACAAGAGCTTAGTATATTGTGTTTGGCTAGATAAGAGTAAAGCTGCTTGTAGATTAGTTTTTCAAATATTTTTGACAAGTTTGGCAGAATTGATATAGATCTGAAGTTGTTAACATCAGTGAGATCACCACATTTATGGACTGGGGTTACTCTCGCTTTTTTTTAGAATATCTGGAAAAGTTTGGAGTACAAGTGACTTCTTGTAGAGCAATGCAATGGCAGGAGCTAAAGATCTGGAGGCTTTTTTGTAGATTAGAGTTGGTATTTCTACAAGGGCACTAGACTTGGTCTTAAGGGAAAGGATTACTTCATTTACATCAGTTGAATTAGCGGGCGTTAGGTACAGAGACTGTGGATAGTTACCTGTAAGAGTCCTGAACATTAGTACTGGAAGATGGAATATCATATGCAAGGGATGACCCAATGGATGAGAAGAACCTATTGTAGATTTGTGACAAGATTTAGTTCAGGATCAATATCAGCTTGTATGTAGTTGCAATGGGGTCAGGATACAATAAGACAAGCAATTACAGAACAGTTAAATTTGAAAAATTAACTCTCCAAAGTTCATTTTCACACTTTTTTGGGTCTGATGCCTAGGGATGCATATTTTGCAAGGGTAATCCTTTCATTTTCAAAGACTAATTTACAATGTCGTTGTTGATGTTTTAGATTTAGCTACTTAGAACGAAAAGTCCATGTAGCACGGGTTATAGTGAGCCTGTAATTGAGTTCAGTTATTCGCAATAACCTTAATTGTTACTGTGATATTTGGATCAATGTTTTATATGGAGGTGGTGTTTCCTCCTTTTTCCCCTGTTTCTTTTTCACTTCTGTTTTAGTGCTCTGGTTTAATCTTGTTTTAATAAAATTATCTTGGTGGCAGAAGTAGATGCACAGTGGTCACTAGTGTGTCCCATTCTTCAATTGCTTTTCTAACCATTGTAGTCGCTGTGGAACTTGCATCTAATGCAGCTGCTGTCGTTGGAGTAATGTTGAGTTTGATGCACAGAGCTTCAGTTGCTTCACATTCCAGTAAGTAATGCAATAGTGGTGCCTTTGCACCTGTTCCACAGATATGACACTCTTTAACTATTGGGTTTATTACCTCCCAGCAGCACTTGTAACCAAGTTTGAGTCATTGGAATCAGTCAGGTTTCATTCAAGGAATCGACCTTGAGTAGCGGTGTGATTCCTTCCCGAGTTTCGGACAAGTAACTCAGTATGGCTACTGCAATGAATATCTTTTTGCCAGGCTTGAAAGAAGAGTACCCAGTGGCATGTTCGTACCACACTGCAGTGGATCTTCCTTCCGTTACTTTGGCAATTTTTTATAATTGGGAGTATTTTCTTCTTCATTTGCTCCTTAATCTGTGAACAACTTGGAGGTAATTTAACCTGTACAACAGGTATTTACAATGGTTGATTGATTGATAAAGATTAAGCCACCCTAAAGATGGCACAGGCATGAATAACTCGTAAGTGGAGGCTCTTTTGAGTTATTACCAGTATCAATAGCTGATACAAGGGATCTGTGGATGGATGGGGCTCTTCATGGTGGATTGCAGCCGTGGAGGGCTCACTGTACCAGTTATGGAATTGGTGGGTTAGTGTAGACCTCTAGGCCTTCTGTTTTTTCTTTAGCTGAGACTTGCTGCGAGTTGATATGGCCGTGCTGTTGTCGGAGTTTGGTGAGGTGGCCTCTATGAGGAGGTCTTGTACCGAGTAGGTGTCGTATTTGTGCTGCAGCAGTGGAGCTCCTACTAAGATTTCCTCGTCTAGAGTCCATAACAACTGTAGTTGGTGGTATTGTCTTTCGTCTCGCAGTCTGAGGTAGGCTCAGGTGTCGTGGATTAGTGGTAGAAACTATTTCAAGAGCGTTGGTGGTGCTGCTAGTATTTGTAGACAGCACGTCTGCTAGTGTATCTGCCAAGATGAGATTATGTTGGGAGCTGGAGTGGAGGGTGCTGCTGTTTGTGTAGTCTGGGTCTTTGGTGGAGCTGCGGTCTGAGTTGAGATTGACCTTGTGGTCAATCTCGTGGAAGTCCCCTGTGTAGTAAGGGAAGTAGTGAGACTTGCGCCAGGGTTAATTGAAATTGATCAATAAACAAAAAATAGTTTTATTCCATACTTTCTTACTGAATGTGACTAGTTTATTGTGCACCCCATTCTCAATCTGTGAGCTGCAGCTCAAAAATGGATTAAAGGGAACGAAAGGTCTTAATCAGATGAAATATTTATTAACAATATTTTATTATACTTTAGGATTTTTTGTTAATGATACCAGTTTTTAATATCGGTTTTCACAAGATAATAGAGGTGTTGTTTATGGTTTAGATCGTGACCTATACATTCAACATTCATGTCATTTGCCTACTAGAAGTGAAACATAGATACAGAGCAAATATTTCAGATATTTTATTATTTATAATAAATGACTTTCCATTTCATGAAACTTTAGTTTTATCTGTAAGTTACTGAAAGCATTACAATGTAAAATTGAATGCTAAGTGTCGGTACACCCTGATTATCGAATGGCAACTGCTGCATATATTGATTGATTGATGAAGATTAAGCCACCCAAGAGGTGGTACGGGCATAAATAGCCCGTAATGTTACATATAGGAAAGGAAGGTTACATAATGAAGCCATTATGTAACCAGAGAAGTGAGGTGGGAGGAGGTAAAAAAGTTAAACAGACAAAACTGAGCTAAAGTCAACTCCCTAGATGACATGAGGACCTAAACATAGTAGAGAAGGGATTGAGAATAAACACAAAAGTTGCGACTTGACTGGGCGAGACACCATCGCTGTCTTTCCTTGTTATACATGTAGGTTGGATTATTTATTTACAGCCAGGTTATAGTGCTTTATTCTCTACTCACGTGTTGTAGTATGTTTTCAAATCCACAGAAGCAGGACATCTCTTAGAGCCAAGGACGACCATGTAAGCATCATCCAAGACAAAGTTGTGTACAGCACTGGCCAAACATCTTACCAAGATCACTCGCGTCAGGCGCTGCTGGGCTCCCGAGCCTCTCCACCCCACACACAAGCCGCCATCACCCAGCCAGCGGCATGGTTCTGCAGCAGAACCTCGCCTAGCACTTACAACTGTCACCTCGCTTCAGACATGACTACCCTCACCCTTGGTAAGTCTTATATTTAAATGTCAAGGTTTTCAGTAGTTGGGAACAGGTGTGTAGTGCTTCTGAAATTAATTACAATGACAGCTAGACCTGTTTGTGAGAATTTATCCTTGAATGATGCTCACCTCTCACTAGAATTCAAGGATATGTAGCCAACCCGTCCTCTTAAAAATAACGTCACTTTTGGCTGGTATGCGCGCTATGGCCAAATTTGGACGTAATTTGAAATGAAATCGACTCACAAAAATGACGTACTGTTCCATTTTCTGTTTGAGTTGTCCGGCTTACTCGGCAAGCTTAGAAGACGAAACTTTTCATTAACGTTTTTCATACCGTTTTGAAACTTTATGAGAATTTCCTGCCCACCTAACCTATCAGAGGACCCTTAACTTACTGTTGTTGAAAAAAAAAATCCCAAATATATTTTCAATTTTTTTTTCATTTTCAAATTACGTCCATATTCGGCCATACGGGTAAACGGCCAAAAGCGATGTTCTTTTTAAGAGGACAGGTTGATGTAGCTGCGAAATAAATATCATCAAATATTACCAATACTTAACTTAATAAGTGATAACATTTAAGTGATAAGTGAAAGTGATAACTTTATTAATGAGGTTAAATATTATTTGAGATTTATTTGTCTTATAGTCCCAAGTTTAGGGAATTGTTTAATTTTGAAATTTAAAAAATAAATACTTAACTGCATCTATTCTAGTCTGCACCATTATTATAATCATATAGTGCCAACCCGTAGGTGTATATTAAAAAAATTGAATTAAGTTATGCTTGTTCTAAATGCTGAACAATCTAGCCATTTATTATTAATATTTTGTACAGACCTATAATAGGTGGGACATAATAGCAAGAGTTGTGCTGAACACTATACAGTGTTCATTATATAAATAAGATTTACATCTAAATCATTATTGTTGCTATTATAGTATATTTATGTAATACATTTTGTCTCTTAACTCCCCTTGCCACTTCGGGGGGTATATGGTTTTTATATAGCTTCAGGGCAACAATCCCCCCATCCACTGGGCATGGTGAGAAGGCATCCCTAAGCACACATATTTCCCTAACAACACAAACTAAAATACATATAAATGGTAGATGTCAATCTCAACCTGCTAGAGTTAAGATGATAATAATAACATGTGAAATGGAAAATTATTTTGTAATTTGATTTTCTTATATGGGACACAGCACACAAAGGGAGAGGTGCACAGTATATCATTACAAAATAACTAAAGCTGAGGGCAAAACAGCAAGCTGCCTAAGCGGTAGGATTGGTGACTTGACAGCAGCATACATAGAAAACAATTCAAAGTGGAAGCTCCTAACAAGGCCCCGGAGCGGGAGGGTAGTCGTGTGTGCGTATGGGGTCCCTCCGGCCACTGCTATACCCACTCGTAGGCTCTGGCCAGGTGATGCATCCTCCTGTGAGGAACCATTCGGAGAAGTGGTACTCCAGATGATGACTCTACTTAGTTGGCTGCCAGTTATCTTGGCTGCAGTTCACCTAAGCAAGACAATATTAACCCTTATACACCCATTGTTCGGTGGTCCTGGGACATAGGTGGTCTGCCCCTAGATGTGGACTTGGACCATATTCTGTAGATGGAATATGTCAGATTAGGGCTTTCACAGAGCAAATCTCAAGGTCGCTCTTGGTGAGTCCTATATCCTGAAGTTCATGCACACTCTCCTTGCATCCTCCTCCTCTCCAATTAAGGGTTATCGAAGAGGCGGATGCTGTGTGCTTACCGGTATATTCCCTCACTTTTTGAAGAATCTCTGGGGGTGTCGTATTTGTTGCAATTGCTCTGATGTGGACAGGAGAGTGGGAAGTTATCAGCAGAGACCTGGGTGTCTAATATGAAGGCCTTATCACCTTTGCAAGCGATGATGTCGGGCTTGCAGAAGGTCCCTCCATCCGGTATACGAACCTTATGTTCCACCTCGAAACCTCTCTGCCGCAGGCAGCCAGCTACAAACCAAGTGATATCATCATGACGTTTCACCCAAGCCCCCATGTGTCTTATAGCATGCCTGGAATATGTGGCCCAGAGTCCCTGGGCTCTGGCAAGCATCGCAGAGATCGGAGGCCTCGGGTCTACCCCTAGCTGCTCTAGACGGAGTGGCTACAGCGTTTGCCCCAATATGGATGACATGAGCAAAATCTCCTCTGCTTAGCAGATGGGTACCGGATGAGACCCACTTGAGGCAGGAAGGAACCTCACAAGCAGATGCAAGGCCAGTACCATCAACCATGCTATACAATTTTGCTTTCCAACTTCTAGAGCACTCAGTGGTTCCATTAGAAGGGGTTCCGGCGGCCGGAACCGGCCACTACCACCGAATCCTCCAGCACTCTACCAACGCCCTGAACCGCTTGTTCTTTTGTAGGCGGATTGATGTATCAAAGTCGGGAATTCATAGTCCACCGTCCTTTACGTCGGCATGAAAGAAGGCATTCTGGGTATCATCTTCTTCTTCTTGATAGTAGGTGCAGTATGCATGAAGGGTTTGTCCTCCTGATGACTGCACCAGTACTGATGTTGGTGGACGCGTTTATGTTGAGGATGATCGGAGCTACCAAGGTGCTTGTTGCGTTGTGTTGTTGATAGAGGAACGGTGATTAAAACAGAGGTGTGTGTTAGAGGGAGACTTGCCGCACCGTAGGGCGGTGTGTTGTGTTTATGGCGTCAGCTGATCCATGGTGCTGCGACGAGGCAGTTGTTTTCTGTGTTTAGCTGTTGGTGGCGCCAGGTATAAATGTGGCGCGGGTCAGATGTGACCCAATTTGTTGGTCGATTGGAGATATTTAGCCAGTGCTTTGACTATTTGGTATTTTTCTTGTAATGAGTGGTCACCTCCTAATATATGTTCGATGGTAAAGGGTATTTTAAGTGCGATAAAGACTTGTTTGAAATTTACTCTGGCATTATGATGTCGGAAGCAGTGCAGGAGATAGTGTTCGACTGTTTCAGGCATCTGACAGTGAGTACAGAGTTCATTGATGTCTGTTCTGTACTTAGAGCTGTGTGCTGCTAGTTTGGTATGTCCCAGCCTTAATCTGGTCATCGTTACATCAATTTCTCTGCTTTTATATCGGACATGTTTCCAGGTTTCCCATTTCTTTTTAATGGACCCATAGTGCAAAGGTGAGCATAACGTTTTCCAGTTTGTTGCAAAATCCTGGGAGATGGTATCTTTGAAGGCTCCTTTACGTACAACATGGGGAATTGGATGACGGTTGAGGTGAAGCGTGTTGTGCGCATCGCTTTGGCTAGTTGGTCTACAAGTTCATTATGGAGAATACCACAATGTGCTGGGACCCATTGGATAAAGGTGTCATAACCGTTCAATTGATGTTTGTGAAGAAGTTGAAGGCATGGGTAGACAATTATCTCCTTGCACGTTTTCGAAGAGTACGTAATTGCTTGAATCGTGCTCTTGGAGTCACTACAGTTTGTATATATCCCAACTGGTAATGTTGTGATGATTTGGAGAGCTTGATACAAGGCATAAAATTCCGCTGTGAAAATAGTTGGTTTAGTAACCGCCATCCCTGCTTGAGATGGTATTCCGGTATCCATACAGCGCTAGTGACCGAAGGTACGTTGTTCATGATGATGCGAGACCCATCTGTATAAATCTCTGTGGTATTTGGGTAGCAATTTTTCATTGTTGAGAGAAAAACTGAGGCTATGGCTGAGTTTGGTGCAGACTTTGGAATATTGTCTTCGAGTTGTATTGCTATATAAGGAGTTGTATAAAGCCAAGGTGGAATGGGGGAGGGACAGGAAGTTGGGTTTCACAGTTTTGGAGTAGGGAGAGGTCTATATTGAGGTTATTTGTAGCCCGTGTGAGGAAAGGTTGCGAGTGAATGATTGGGGAGCGGGGTTTATGTGGGTTAACTGTTGGGTTAATTTTTTATCTGTATGGGGTGTATCTATTGAGTAGTGGTACAGAGTGACAGATAGTTGGCACACATTATGTCTCGTCTGGTGGCTAAGGTTGTGAGGCCCGTTTCCCCGTAAAGTCCGAGGATTGGAGTTGAACGCATTGCGCCACATATAAGTCGCATGGCATTATTTTGTATGACCTCGAGGCTCTGTAGGTCAGTAGGCGCAGCCGATGCAAATGCTTGGCAACAATAGTCTAGTTGGCTGCAAATGTAGGTTGTATAGAAACGGAGCAAGATTTTATGGTGTGCTCCCCAGGTGGTGCCAGTGAGGGCTTTAAGTATGGCGAGTCGGGGTTGTGTCGTCTATTTAAGGTGTTGAATGAGTGCCTTCCAAGTAAGTAAGGGGGAGTCTAAGCATATGCCAAGATATTTATGTTCACATACATATTGGATGGGAGTGTTGTGTATTGTGAGGGTGGGTAGATGAAGTAGTCTTTTTTTTAGTGAAAATCTGATAGCAGGTTTTAGTAGTACTAACTTGAAGGCCCCATCGTTGTGTCCAATCTATGAGGTGGTCAAGTGCTGTTTGCATTGTTGAGACTGTATTAGGACATTGTCTGAATAATACAACGTTAAGTCGTCGGCGTACGCCGAGAGGTGAACAGGATGGGTGTTAGGCAAATCTGCTTAGAATGCAGCGAATAGGGTTGGGCTTAGTATGGAGCCTTGTGGGACTCCCGTTTGTATTGGGATGCCATCGGAAAACTCGCTTTGTATAAAGACTTTGGAGGTCCTGTTCGTGAGATAGGACTGTAACCATAGTAGTAATCTTCCCTGTACGCCTAAACGTGCAAGCTTTGCCAAGATGCAAGTATGAAGAATGCTATCAAAGCTCCTTTGATGTCTAGGTAGACAACAAGACAATATTTACTGCTTCTGAGAGAGGTGTGGATTTCATGTTCAAGGCAGAGTATTTGGTCAAGCGTGAAGCATTGCGTTCGAAATCCAGCTTGAAGTGATGGTATAATATCATTATACTCAAGGTACCATTGGAGGCGAGTATGTACTACCCTTTCCATGACTTTACTGA